CTGTTGATCTGCAAGGCTGGGGTGTCCTGAGCTCTGAGCCCTGCTTGCTGGCAGTGTCCTGAGCTGCTTGGTGGGATTTCATTCCTCTCATTTCTCCTCTGATATTTGTGTAACGTTTTACTGAACACCACCCGAGGCAGGTGTGGCTGGAAAAGGGGTGGTGGGAATTGCCTGTTAGATACACAGGCTGGGATCTGCAGGGTGTAATTACCTGGCAAGAGTCTAACCACATGGTCCAATGAGACTGTTTCATCTGAGACCTCCTCAAGCCACTTCCAAGTTTGTGTTTTATGGGTTTCTTTTCTTGGCCCAGACAAGCAGGTCTTTGGCCCTGAGACTTGGTTGCAGTCCTGCTCTTGCCTTCAGTGATCTGTGCAGTCCTGTGGCAGACCAGCTGAGGCTGGAATGTGATCAAGGTAAAGGGAAGCAGCTGAGCCTCATAGCTGCCTTGTGCTGGACAAACAAACTAACCAGGGGTGATAAGGAGCTAAAGGGAAGCAGCTGAGCCTCATAGCTGGCTGCCTTGTGCTGGACAAACTAACCAGGGGTGATAAGGAGCAGGTGAAACTAATGGCCAGGAGCCCCATCCTGTGAGCCAGGGTGACTCAGACACAGACACCAAGTGAGAGATGGAGCAGCTGTTCTGGAGCAGAGAGGAGCACTGAGGGCTTTTGGTGCCCAGGACACATCACACTGTCTTGCTGAGGCCACCAAACAAACCAGAAATCAGCCTCTATGGGAGGTGCTGATCCCAGATGGACCCAGCTTTGTGCACATCCCAGAAGACCCAAGAGCTGGGCTCCTTGGCATGTCCTCTCTGCCACCCCCACTTTGCAGGAAGATATCTCTGCTTTCTGGTGAGCATCTCCAGCCCAGAGCTATTTGTGGCAGTTCCCACCATCCCCTCCTGCTTGCTGAATGTCCTGCTGACACAATTAGTCATTTCTGCGTCTGGTTTGTCCAGCCTGGCAGAGTTTGGTTGTGGTCTAAAAATACATCATGTGGCTGGTTTACAGGGGAGTGGGAAGGGCTGCTGATGCACAGGACTTCTCTTTGAGCTCCCTGCTTGGAGGGGTTGTGTGCTGGACACCCACCCACACGTGCTATATCAGCCTATAGAGCATGCTCCTTTTCTAGCTTACCTCATGGAATCTGTATTCCAGGGGAAGAAATGGGGCAAGGTCTCTGGGGCCTTTTCTCTGGATTGGCGTGTGGCTTTTCTGCAGCAGCAGCACCAGCTGGGCTGGGGCTGTGACCAGAAACCTCCTACCTGCTGTGGGGAGCCCCATGGTGTGGAGCAAGAGGAAGCAACTGACCCTGTGACTTAAGGTGGGGAGAAGATCAAGGGAGGTTTCTGTTAGTGATGTTTGTTGGAGTCGTTTCTTCGATAAGGGCGAGAGAGTCAGACCCTGAGTCACTTGGTGCAACTGAGACTGTTCCTCAGGGAATGATGGACAAGGTGAGAGCAAGATGAGCTTTCAGATCCTCTCTGCTTTACACCTGCTGGTGTGATGGACTGTTCAGGACCATTAGCTGAAGGAGATTAAAATTCTAGTTGTCTTTTTCTTGATTTCACTGTGGTCTTTCAAGCTTGTCTTGCTTTTGATTCCATCTGGTTTCTACCTGGCTTAGAGCATGGTGGCACCTCAGGGGTGTTTTTCCCCAACGAGCAGGAGTGGTGGCAGCCAGGGGGGTGTGCAGCCCAGGGAGTGAGCAGAGGCTGAGCTGCCCTGTCTGGACACAGACTAGTCTGGTACTGAGGTCAAACGGGGGCTTTTCGTGCTGACAGTGGGCAGGGAAGATTCAGCCTCTTACTCAGAGGTCAGGACGTGGGGCCTGAAATCTTCCCAGCACCACCTGATTCAGCATTCCTGAAGTTCTTGGGGGTTGCTTCAGATCCTTTGCCTTGTGCTGAGAAGAGTTGGCAGGGATCACTGTTCCTTACCCAGGCTGCCACACTGGGCAGTGTCAGAGCTGGTTGGGGAATCCAGGGCTGTATATGAGGAGTGGGGGTGGGAGAGGACAAGACCTGGAATACAAAACTGAAAGCAGGAAGAGAAACCTCTTTGGATGATTGAGTTTCATATCTGCCTCTAATCACTGAGTACCTCTTGATGAGTAAGAGTGGCTGCCATGAACCTTGTACAGGGATAATAACAAAAATAACTTTTCTTCTGAGTCCTCACACGGGTTTCCCTCGGGGCTGTGGCTGTCCCTGCCAGCTTGGCTTGGGAGCAGGCTGGCACAGTGCTGGGAGCTCTCACAGCTTTGAGACCTTTCATCCTTGTTTTTTCTGAGAAGAGCAGAGAAATTGTCTGAAGAAGGATCAGTTGGTGAGTTTTCTTGCCTAACTTCCTTTGGTCAGGTTGCAGCTGCAGGTGTGTGTGTTGGAGGTTGGTTTCCTTCTCATTTAATCACACTGATGAGTTGCTCCACCTACCACTTTTCTCCCTGCAAAGACACAACCTTTAGCTTGAAGGGGGATGTTAAAATGCTTCAGTCAGGGATTTTTAGAGAGTTTACTATTTGAAAATAAGGTTTTATTTGCTCCCTTGGTAGCCAGAGAAGACCCTGCTTTGTTGTGCCACTTTGCTGCTGCAGCTCCTTGTGCAAGAAGTGCACAAGAGGGTATCTTCCTCTTTCAGGGAAGACATATCACCTAGTTGAATTCAGCTGGGCCAGGAGAGTGTGTTATTAAGGCTGAGATTTAGCAGCTTGTACCCCAAAATTGTTACTCAGAACACACAGAGACCCTGTTCTCCTGATTCCTCCTCACTGACCCTGGGCAGTCTGGGAAAGCTGCTGCTGTGTGAACAGATGCATCATTTAAGCCCCTGAGGTTGTTTCTTGCCACAGGCTCCTGCAGATGCTAGAAGAGAATGAAATACTTTCCTTGAACAGTGCTGGGAAGGCTTGGCCCTGCAAGCAGCCCCACGGTGGGAGAAGGGAGATGCTTGTGAGATTTGTGGCTGGTTTCTTCTCTGCACCTGATTTTGGGGGATTTCTTGTATGGCCTGGGAACTGATGGGAGCCAGATGGCTGCTTGGAAGATGGTTCATCAAACTCTAGGCAGTCTTGACTTTGATTGAAGGGTTTCTTGATTTCGGATGTTTGTAGGTATCGAAGCTTTATTTTGTGTGTCTTCTGTTTTGAAGTTTCCTTGGGTTATATTTTCAAGTTTTTCCTGTATGATCGTGGAAGCCAAAGAGGAATCAGAGCATCCCCTGAGGGATTGTCCTCTGTGGCCTTGCCTAGGTCTTTTGTTTCTTCTGGCAGTGGCTGGATGTTGGTGCTAGAAGCAGCCTCAGAGATGGTGTGATTCCCCTGGAGCAGTAAATCTCTTCCATGAATGAACATCCCATGCTGTACTGGAGAGCTGTCAAACTCTGAACTTGGATTAGTTTGGGAGCAGATGGTGCAGAACTGGTAGCTTGCTCTGCTCTTTGGCCAGCTGGTGTTTGCAAAGGATTAAACTTTACACAAATGTAGGGTCAGGTGCTTCCACTGCCCTTCCTTTTGTGAAGGGCCTCGGGCAAATACCTCAGGGAGGAGAGGCTCTAGGAGGTGTGGAGAGGGGGAGGACAGAGCTTGGGTGAAGGAAAGGGCAAAAGGAGTGGGGGCACGATGCAGGTGGGAGCTGGGCTTCCCTGCAGAGCGGGGCTGGGGGGAGATAAGAGGGTGAAGCCCCTGCCTGGAAGGGGAGCACAGTGAGGGCAGCTCCTGGCCCGGGTGTTGGGGAGGGCTCAGGGTTCCTCTGTGGGCAGGGAGCCCCTTGCTTCTGCTTCCCTGACTTCCAGGGGCTGGACACATTGGCATCAGTTCAGGCCCAGCCATCAGGGTGTGTTCGTGTCAGCCCTGGGCTGAAGGGACAGGCAGTATCTCACCTGGCATCATGTTTGCAAGGACAACATTCTGTCCTCCGGAGGGCAGGGATGTGTTTGAATCCAGGGAACAGGTGCTGGTCATGGTGTCCTTGCTGTCTGGAGCCTTGTGAAGCTGCTGTGGGTGTCTGCAGCCCCCTGGGGAGGGGGAGGAAATGGGAAGGTGGTGGCTGAATGGGCGAGGTGTCCTGGTGGTTTGGGCAGTTTGCAGAGCCCTTCCTGCCTGCGAGGGGTCCAGGAGGGCAGCAGAAGATGTGGTCTGCTCTCCTGGCCTTAGCCAGCTGCTGGGATGATGGGTTCAGATCCAGGCCCCCAGTGGATGCCTGTACCAAGAATGCTCTGGGCTGTTTGGCTCTGAAAACATCTGGGTCCACAGCTGCTCTGATCCTCCCCCTGGGCTGGAGGTGCAGCTGCAGGAGCAGGGAGACCAACGTGGGGAGGAGGTGAGACCCTGAGGTTTGGCAGCTGACACGGGGGCTCTGTGCTGCCACCAAGACCTTCCTCTTCATCACCTCGCTGAGCACAGGGTGCTGGGAGCAGGGAGGGCTGTGCTACAGGGGCCATTCCTCCTCCCTGGGCCTTCAGGACCTGCTCTGCATCAGCCACCGCGTCTTGTCCCGAGAGCCCGGCGGGTCGTGGGGCAGCTTGTGCCTTCATCTTGGCCTTGGCTTTTTTTGCTGTTTATTTGTTGAGTTGCTATTTGCAATGGATGAGGAATCCCAAGGAGACAGAGAGGAGGAGTGTTGTGGTGGCCTGAGACATCCAGAGAGCTGTGTGGACGTCAAGGGAGGAAGTAGCTTGGTTCTTTTCTGACGGGAGTGCTATTTATAGCAGGCTGTGCCCCATGAGCTGCCACACAGCTGAGTGCTTTGCAGGGGTGGATTTTTGTCTGCAGTTTCATCTGAATTTATTTGAGTTGATCACCACGTGTTAGGTCCATAAAGCAATCAGGTGTGTGTGTAAAAACAAAGCAAAGGGCTGCAGGGTTTGCCCCGCCGTGGGGCGGCTGTGGCTGCCAAGGGCAGGGAGCTCTGCTTTGTGGTCAGATCTCACCAAACCAGCCTTTGGGAACAAGGCTGGTTTCTTTCCACCATCCTGCCTTCCCTCCTCTCCTAGGACATGACCAACCTGGACGAAGGGGTGGAGTTCCTCCCTGCCATGAACTCCAAGAAGATGGAGAAGCGCGGCCCGAGGCGGCGGGTGGTCGTCCCCGTCACCATCGTTGTGTTCCTGCTCATCTCCCTCGTCACAGGCCTCCTGGTTTGGCACTTCAAATGTGAGTATGACATCTGTAGGGCGATACCCTGGGAGCACATCCACATGGAGAAGCTTTGCTGTCCCGTGTTGCTCACGTGTGCCCTCTCTAGCTCTGGGAAGTGCAATGCAGAGATCCTGGAGATAGCTCAGATGTCTCCAGCATGAAATCCTGCCCTCAGGAAGGAGTTTTCCCCCCCTGCCACTGGAGACAGATGCAGTCCTGTGCTGTACCCACAGTTTTACTTCTGGGACCTGAACCTGGTGTCTTCACAGGGCAGCACACCAGGATGACTTTCTTTATTAACCTGTTTGCTGAGTTCTCTGAACTGAGATGTGCAAAGTGGTGTCCACAGAAAGTCTCTGTTTAGTTGAATGGTCATTGCAGAAGCTTATGTAGTATATAGAGCATATTAGGTGTGCAAAACTGGCTTGGGAGAAATGGGTGCACTGAGTGCAAGACCTTTCCAGTGAAGTGACAGGGAATGCTGCCTGAAAACAGGATGCCAGTGTCTGTGTGAATCTCATTTTTGTGCTCCTGATTTAACTTGTATTTACTCATGACATAGGAAGAGGCTTCATTGCTTAAAACTGGAAGAGGGGAGATTTAGATGAAACATGAGGAGGGAATTGTGGAGTGTGAGGGTGGTGAGAGCCTGGCCCAGGTTGCCCAGGGAAGCTGTGGCTGCCCCATCCCTGGCAGTGTTGAAGGGCAGGTTGGATGGGGCTTGGAGCAGCCTGGGCTGGTGGGAGGTGTCCCTGCCCATGCAGGGGGTTGGATCTGGGTGATCTTGAAGGTCCCTTCCAACCATCCCATGGTTCCAAGTGGGCACACTGTCAGTGGGGACCTGCTGTGCCACAGCCCCAGCCTGCTCTGACCCTCAGCTGTTGCCTTCCAGACAGGAATGCCCTTGTCCAGAAGGTTTTCAACGGCCACTTGCGGGTTTTGAACTGTGACTTCCTTGATGCTTATGAGAACTCCAGCTCACCTGAGTTCCTCATGCTGGCCAAGAAGGTGAAGAGCACGGTAAGAAGTGTCTTGCATCCCTCCTCCTGCCAGCAGGACTTTTTCCTCTTGCCTGTAGCCATGGGGATCTTCCATGTTAGACTGCCTGGAGCTTTCTCTCCCCTCCCAGCCCTCCCGGGAGGCACTGGGCTGGGTGCAGGGAGCCTGACTTCAAACTGGGTCTTGGTGTCACAGCTCCAGCCCAGGGCCCCAGCATCTGCCTGCTCTGTGTGTGCCACAGGAGGCTGCCTGGGCAAATCCCAGTGTCAGCAGATGAGTCAGGGCTGGGAGCTGAGGCAGGAGGGAGCTGAGCCCTCCTTGCTGGGGCTGTGGCTGGTCTTGCCCTTCCCCTTGGACTCAGGTGTTTGTGGTGAGCAGGGTAAGCTGAGTCAGAGCAGGTTGTGCTCTGCAGTCCTGGGCACTGCTGGGACTCCCTCCCAGTTCTCCCTCTTCCTCTCTTTGATCCCTGCATGTTCCTGCAGCCAGGGATGCTGGCTGTGTGCCCTGATTTTCCACAGCAGGCTTGGAGTTCATTCTGTCTGTCTTCAGTCTTTTCCACTTCTAGATGTGCTGAACACTCTTTTAAACCTTTTAGGTGGAGGAGATCTACCAGAATCATGCAGCTATTGGCCCTTACCACAAAGAGACAGTGATAACTGCCTTCAGGTGAGCCCTGGGTGCTGTCTGAGCCCTGTCTGGGGATGGAGGAGGGTGATGCTGGGATGTCAGGCAGCCACAGGCCCTTGTTCCTGGGCTGCTGTGGATGGAGGCAGCTCATTAACCACCCTGAGTGACCCAGGAAAGGGGTGGGCAGTGAAAAGCAGCCTGAGAAGGTGTTGTTTTCTGCTGTGTGGAGAAAATCAAGTTCTGGTGCAGCAGAGCCCTATGAGGAGCAATGGGTGGTGCCTGGCAGCTTGGAAAGGGACTCCCCGGGCTGGCAGGGACCTTTGCTGGGTGCAGTTTGTTTAACTTGCCCCTGCCCCACAACCATCCCCTGGCAGCAGCTCACCCAGCAGCCCTTCTGCCCGAGCCCTCCTGTGCCTGCCCTTGCTCTCCCCCCATAACCTCCTTTCTCCCTCAGTGAGGGCAGTGTCATTGCCTACTACTGGTCGGAGTTCCTGGTCCCCAAGTACCGGGAGGAGAGCCTGGACAGGGCCATGTCAGACCAGCAGAGCCTGGTGCAGAGGTGGAACCCCCGCCTGCGCAACCCCCAGCTGAAGGTGGAGTCGGTCATTGCCTTCCGTGAGTGCTGCCCCTGCTGCCCTGCCCCTCTGCCCGGGGCTGGGGGCACGTTTCACTGCAGGGGGGGTTTGTTGGAGGGATGAGTTGCCAGCCACAGCCCTGCTGTGGGTACCTTTGGCTCTCAGGGGCAGTGTCAGGACCTGGCTTTCTTGGCGCTGCTTTGATGGCTCATCCAGCCCTTGGGGCTGCTCAGATCCTCCCCTTCCCACTGTGTTCTCCTCTGAGCCCACCTGGAGAGGGACAGGGAGGAGTCCTCCCTCCTGCAGAGGAAAAGCCTGATCACTGGGGTCCCCAGAGCCCAGCAGGAGCAGCCTCTCCCCCGAGGCAGAGACCTCACAAAGCAATCGTGGTCCCAGGGACCTCACCAGCTTTGTGCCCAGGGACTTCCCACAGCCCCCCAGTGACAGCCCCTCTGTTTCCTCCTGCAGCTGCTGACCCCAGCATCGCCTACTCCACCCGGGACTGTAAGTTCACTGCTTCTTTTGGCTTCTTTAGGGTAGTCATTTCCCTTGCAGGGCTTAAAGAGGGGTGCTCTGCAGACCTTGGGGCTGGTTTGGGTCCACCAGACCACCACGGGCTTTGCTGTTGTCCTGGGTGTCATAGGATCGTAGAATGGTTTGGGTTGGAAGAGACCTTGAATATAATCTAGTTCCAAGCCCCCTGCATGGGCAGGGACACCTTTCCCTCACTTTGCAGATGGGTGTTGATAAGCAGGGATGCTCCCTGCAAGAGGCTTCTGCCCAGGGCCAGCCTGCAGGCATGGGTGGGATTCCAAGTGCTGCACTGCAGCTTGGGGAAAGGCAGGGCAGAACCTCCTGGTTTGCCTAGTTAACTCCTCCCTGCTCTCCTGGGCAGATAGCTGCGTGTTTGCCCTCCATGCCAAGGAAGGGGAGGTCACCAGCTTCACCACACCAGGCTTCCCCAACAGCCCCTACCCCAACAATGCACTCTGCTACTGGACACTGAGGGCAGATGCCAACTCCATCATCAGCCTGACCTTCAAGACGCTGGAGCTGGAGCAGTGCAGAGATGACAGTGACTACATCAAGGTGTACAACTCCCTGAGCCCCGTGGAGCCCCACGCTCTGGTCAGGTGAGTGTCCCCATGAGGTGTCTGTACCAAACCCTGGGGGATGCTAAGAAGTCCTGCTGGTAACTGAGCTCCTGTCCCTGCTCCAATGTGACCTGTGCTGCTTGAGGCTCTCTGTGCAGTTGTGTCTAATGGATTTTGTCCCTTCCTTCCTAGGCTCTGTGGCAATTATGCTCCTTCCTACAACCTGACCTTCTTGTCCTCCCAGAATGTCATGTTGGTCACCTTGGTTACCAACAAGGAGGGGAGATTCCCAGGCTTTAAGGCTGAGTTCTTCCAGCTCCCAAAGGTGACAGGTGAGCAGAAGCCTTGGCCTTGTTCCCCCTCACTTCTCCCTGCCACAGGAACCTGCAGAGTCAGGTGCAGCCCTGGCTGTGGTCACTTTGCCAGGGATGTTTCCATGGCTGGGAGCAGATCACCTTGCCTTGCCCATGGTGCTCTTTAGTTGCTGTAATGATGTCCCCTGAGGAGGCCAAAATGAGGATTGTGTTGGATTAGACATGCAGATGGATGTGTGCAGGAAGCACCCAGCTGATCTCCTGGGTTCTCTCCAAGTGTTGGAGCAGAGCTGCTCTCTCCAGAGATCAACTTCACCTGGTTAGGGGCTGTTGCATCTGCTTCCCCTCCTGCCTGGGGCAATAGCCAGTCAAGGAAACCACTTCTCTGCATCTCTGACCTCTTTTCATGTTCTTGCTTGTCTCCTAGTCTGTGGTGGGACCCTGAAAGGAGAGAGTGGCACCTTCACCACTCCCTTCTACCCAGCACACTACCCCCCACTGATGTACTGTGTTTGGAACATCGAGGTGAGTCCAGGTCCTCTCTTGCCCTTAATTAGACAGTCAAATGGACTGGTTGATGCAGGATGCAGGTGTGAGCTCACAGCAGAGGCTGCTGGAGGCACCGAGGCTGCCAGGGCTGCAGGAGCCACAGGCTGTGAGAGCCCTGAGCCCTGGGGGACACTCAGCCATGGCCCCAGCAACTGTGGCTTGACACAAAAAGCAGGTGGGCTCTGGGACAGACCAGTCACCTGCTGGCAAAGCAGGTGGTGGGGGATCCTCCTGCCGTGGGAGGGCAGGCCCTGTGGAGAGAGGTCTGGCTTCACCAACCTCTGTGTGCTGGTTGGACCAGGACCCTGGTGCCACCTCAAAATGACAGAGGCTTTTCAGGATGGGGTTCTTTTCTCTGCTGGACTTCTTTCCTTTTCCAGCTATCTTCCATCCTCTCCCCAGACCCTCTTCCCATGAAACTTACTCCCATTTTCTATGCTCCAAAAACCACCAAACCCTGCTTCCTTCTGCAGGTTCCCTCTAAGAAGAACGTGAAGGTGCGTTTCAACATGTTCTTCGTGCTGGAGCCTGGGATCCCAGTCAGCTCCTGCACCAAGGACTATGTGCAGATCAACAGCACCAGGTGGGTGTCAGTGGAGGGGCTGTGTTCAGTTCCATGGCACCTTCTGCTTCCCTCAAACCTGCTGTGGGATCAGTTGTGCTTGTGCTGCTGCTCTTTGGGACGGGACGAGGCAGGAGGCTGCTTGGGGCTGACCTGCTTTCCTAGCTCAGTGTCCCGTGGTGAGGGGGGAGCCACATGTGTGGTGCTGGGGGTCAGAGCCTGAGTTTGTTGCACCTTGCAGCTGAATCCCCCCAAATGCTGTGGGAAGGCAGGAACATCTGGTGGGATTTTGCCTGAATGAGCAGATCTCCATCGTCAGGGTTGACTGTGTCGTGCTCTGCGATGCACTGGCTGGTGCTCCTACACAGCCTGACGTCAGGCTTGGTCCACAAGGTTTTGGGCAAGGGAGCTTGACCCTTCCTTGAGGAGTGAGGGTTTCCAAATCAGCCCCTCTTGTCTGAAGCCCTGGCTAGTTCCTGCAGTGGTGGAATGGGATCCTGTGGCTGCAGAGGCTGCAGGGACTCAGAGACACGGTGGATCTGGGATCAGACCTCATGGTGTTGGGCAGAGATTGGGGTGATCTCACTCCCAGTCATTCCCATTGTCACAACTTGGTGTTTGAAACTGGCCCAAACCTTCTGCCAGCAGCAGCAGAATTCAGGTCCTGTGTGCAGGCCCTGAGGAGCAGCAGCTGGTGCTGGAATCAGCCCTGCTCTTGGTTCTTCTGCCACCGGAGCTCTTGGGTGACTGAGCTGACCCTTTTGTGCTGAGGGGGAGTTCAGGGATGGAGGAGCCTTTGCTCAGTGCTGATTGATGTGTTCATTTTTGCTCTCTCTCCCTGCAGATACTGTGGGGAGCGTTCCCAGTTTGTGGTGGCCAGTTCTACCAACAAAATGGAGGTCAGGTTCTTCTCAGACCAGTCCTACACAGACACTGGCTTCTCTGCCGAGTACCTCTCCTATGACTCCAGCGATCGTGAGTTGAAACCTTTAATTTTCCTGCTCAGTTCTGGGGGAAAGGTGTTTTTAACACCTGTGAGCAGGCAGGGGGCTTGGAGGGGATGGCTGGAAGGTTGATGGGTGGTTTTATCCCTCTCCTCTCTCAGCCTGCCCTGGCAAGTTCACCTGCAACACGGGCCGCTGCATCGACAGCAGCATGCGCTGCGACGGGTGGCTGGACTGCGTGGATGGCAGCGACGAGAGGTCCTGCAGTGAGTTGGTCCTTCCTTCCCTTTGAACCCCCTTCCTTTTACCTTCACCGCCCTGGGGTGGCTGCAGGTTCTTGCTCTGGGCTTGTTCTTTCTTGTTGGAGGAGAACCTCTCCTACAAAGACAGGTTGAGAGAGCTGGGATTGTCCAGCCTAGGAGAGAAGGGGGCTCTGGGGAGACCTTAGAGCACCTCCCAGTGCCTGAAGGGGTCCCAGGAAACCCAGTGGTTACAGCAATGGCTTTGCTGGAGTTGTTGCCTCTGGCTGTCCTGCTGCTGTCACCTGAGCTTCAGCCCCAGTGCCTGAGACATTACAGCTCTCCAGGTAGTTTTGTTCTCCAGAGCAGGGAAAACACTGTGCCAGGGATTCAATGTTTATGTCCCTGTGTGTGGCCCTGAGCTGCCATGGGGGTTTTGGTGCACTGGTTCCCATGTGCTTGCACCCCTGGTAGCTGTGCTGCTGGGTGGGTCACCAAGGACTGCACAGGGGCCTTTCCAGGTCTGTGCCCTGATTTCTGGATCTCCCTTTCCAGCCTGCAGAGACCAGCAGTTCCAGTGCCAGAATGGCTGGTGCAAGCCCAAGTTCTGGGTCTGCGACAATGTGAACGACTGTGGGGACAACAGTGACGAGCTGCAGTGCAGTGAGTGGCTCCTGCCAGGGGTGGAAGGGGCTGAGGGCTGGGGCAGGGCCCAGGGGAGCAGGGGAGAGCAAGTGCCCTGCTGGAAACGAGCAGTCAAAGAAACCCAAAATGCTGGTGTTTTGTAAGGCCTTGCCTGGTGCAGCGTCCTGGAGCCTTGAGTGAGGAACAAGGATGAGCAGGGGTGTAGGAAATGTGGGCTTTTGGGAAAGGAAGGGCTGAATAGATTGGTGGTGATGCTGGGGGTGTTCAGCCTGGAGAAGAGAAGGCTCCAGGGAGACCTTAGAGCAGCTTCCAGTGCCTGAAGGGGCTCCAGGAAAGCTGGGGAGGGACTTGGGACAAGGGCAGGGAGGGAGAGGACAAGGGGTGATGGTTTTAAACTGAGAGAGGGGAGATTTAGGTGAGATGTTAGGAAGAAATTCTTCACTCTAAGGGTGGTGAGGAGCTGGGATGGGTTGCCCAGGGAAGCTGTGGCTGCCCCATCCCTGGCAGTGTTGAAGGGCAGGTTGGATGGGGCTTGGAGCAGCCTGGTTGAGTTGGTGGTCCCTTCCGACCCAAATGTGTGTGATTCTGTGCAGGAAATAGATGTTTATCTGTTGTAGCTGCAGAGGTTTTACCCACCTCAGGGGTAAGGGAGGTGGGCACAGGGCTGTGTGGGAGGTGCTGTGGGATTTGTGCCCTGCTGTCCCTCAGGGGCTGCTCTCCCCCCAGGCTGTGCAGCCGACAGCTTCAAGTGCAACAACGGGAAGTGCATCCCCAGCGCCCAGCAGTGCGACGGCCGGGACAGCTGCGGGGACGGGAGCGACGAGGGCACCTCCCACGACGGTGAGGCCGGGACACGGCCCTGCGGTGTTCCCAGTGTCCCGGGGGTGGGCAGAAGGGCTGCTGAGAAGCAGGACTTCCCCAGGACCGGGGCTAACCCTTCTCCCCCTCGCCCCACAGCCGCACAGGCAGTGCCCTGCACGGAGCACACCTACAAGTGCCGTGACGGGCGCTGCATCAGCAAACAGAACCCGGAGTGCGACGGGGAGCAGGACTGTGTGGACAACTCGGACGAGGACAACTGCAGTGAGTCCCCTGGGGGAAAGAGGGACACGGGTTTCTGGGCCGGGCCTCTTGGAGAAACACTTGAGAGAGCCCCTGGGCTGTGCTGAGTGGGAGCTTGGGGGGAGTGTGGGTCTCACACGGGAGTTCTGCGCAATTAGGGGCATCTCGGCGCATGTGGTGTTTGTGCTGGTGGCATCAGGGCACTAGGGCTGCGGGAGACATCCCAGAGGAACAAAAGGCGAGATGCTGGATGGGAACAGGAGTTAACCAAGAGCCCTTTCTCCTTCCCCCCCCAGACTGTGGGATCCGTTCCTACATCAGGAAGTCGCGGATCGTCGGCGGGCAGAACTCGGACGTGGGCGAGTGGCCCTGGCAGGTCAGCCTGCACGTCAAGGGCCAGGGCCACATCTGCGGGGCCTCGCTGATCTCCGAGAGCTGGCTGGTGTCAGCAGCACACTGCTTCCTGCAGCTGCAGGGCATCAGGTACCCGGGAGCAGAACTGCCCCGCCACCCGGGCAGGACCCCCCCAGGGATGCCCTGCCGGTTCCAGCCCTTAGTCTGGGTAGAAGAAGCAGTTTTTACAGGCTTTTATTAGGAAGATGTGGAAGGTGGTGGGGTAGGATGTCTGTGAGATGGGGCCTGACCCTGCGCTGTGTTTCCTGGCTGGTGCAGGTACTCAGAGCCCAGCCTGTGGACAGCCTACCTGGGCCTGACCGACCAGGGCCAGCGCGACGGCCCCAACGTGCAGACGCGCAAGATCAAGCGCATCATCTCCCACCCCTACTTCAATGACTACACCTACGACTACGACATCGCTGTCATGGAGCTGCAGGCCCCCGTCACCTTCTCCTCTGTTGTGCAGCCCATCTGCCTGCCCGACACCACCCATAGCTTCCCCGTGGGCAAGGACCTGTGGGTGACGGGGTGGGGAGCGACCGTGGAAGGAGGTGAGCGCTGGTGTGTGCAGCGTGTGGCTTCAGGGTGAAGGGCTGGATGGGCACCTTGTAAATGTGTTAACTTGCCTTGGGACTGGAGTCACAGGAGCTTCCTAAAAAGGCATCAAGTTAATGGCTCAAATCCTGGAAAAGTGGGTTGTTGCAATGAGGATTCACCTGGCAGGTCGTGGGTCATTCAGGGCCCGAATGACGAGCACAGGGGAGGGAGATGCTGCTCAGAAATGGCTCCTGTTGTTCCTTACACCCCCCTCCTCCCTGGCAGGCAGCGGAGCCTCCATCCTGCAGAAGGCAGAAATCCGGCTCATCAACCAGACAGTGTGTAACGAGCTGCTGACAGACCAGCTGACCCCGCGGATGATGTGCGTGGGGATCCTGACCGGCGGCGTGGACGCCTGCCAGGTAGGGCAGCACTGCAGCCCCCGCGCTGGGGCAGCTGGGGGGACAGGCCCTTGGCTCTGCCCCTTGGATTCAGGCACTTCCACTCACATTCCACACTCCATACACGACACAGCTACAGGGATTTGGGCAGTGGAGGCGTGCAGCAGGTCGTGCTGACACGAGACACCGTCTCAAAAACCTGCAGAGCACCGACCCAGGCCTTAGGCTGAACATCATCTCACCAGGCAGGAGAAGAGATCAACCACCAAGAGCCTCAGTGAGGTTGTTCAGCTTGTTATTCTGGCACTGGGCTCCTAGTCCTAGTTAGTGTCACTGGTCCTAGTTAGTGTCACTGGTCCTAGTTAGTGTCAGCACACATTGGTCTCAAAAACTTCAGAGCACAGATGCAGGACTTAGAATGGCAATAATCTCCCGAGGCAGGAGAACAATTAACTTTGTTACTGGGAGTTAGTTCCAGAACCAGGTTGTTAGCTAAACAAGCAGGCTGAGACTCCTCCTGCCAGCCTTCAGTATTTGATTGATTAGTTACATTTTTCTGTCCATTCAGGGAATTGCACCAGGACCAGACGTCGTCCCAAAACCCACCTCGTAATTCCGTGCTAATTGTTGTGATTGGCTTACGAGTGGGCACGAGCCCAGCGTGCTGGGTTGGTGCTCATGCCTGTGTGTGTTTCCCTGCAGGGAGACTCGGGGGGCCCCCTGATCAGCGTGGAGCCCAGCGGGCGGATGTTCCTGGCCGGGGTGGTGAGTTGGGGCGACGGCTGCGCCCAGAGGAACAAGCCCGGGGTCTACAGCCGCCTCACCAGCCTGCGGCCCTGGGTCAGGCAGCAGACGGGCGTGTAGGGACAGGCTGGTCCCTGGCTGCACATGGACACCTCTGGTGAAGTGCTGGGAGACACTTGGGAATTGGCATTTCCTCCCGGCAGCCTCGACTGTGAACTTGAACCCTCCCTCTACCTCACTGCAAGCACCGGGACCCGACGGGAGCAGCCCGGGGCTGAGGGCAGCTCCTGGTGCTCCCACCTGAGAACCCGTGGCTCTCTTTGGGTGAGTTTGTGCCAACAGCTTGAAGGAGCAGTCATTCCAGGTAGATAGAAAAGTCAACTTGAAAAAAAATATTACAGAAAATTAAAAGAGATTAAAAAACAAGGCAAAAGACAAACACTGTGTGTTTCAGGGCAAACTTCCCTGGGATGGGGTCAAAAAGAAAACACTATTTAGGAGCAGTCCCACCTCTGGTTTCAAACAACTGTCCACAGCCCTTGCTCTGGTGTTCACTGATAGGGGAAAGGAGGTCTTACCTTGTGCTGGGGGGATTCCCAGTGGGATCCCTCCCTTGCTGTCCCACATGCTGGTCTCTCTCCCACTGGGCTTCTGGTCACACCGAGTCCAGGGCTGTGGGGCTGAAAGAGAACCATCCTGTCACTCACCCTGAGGGACACAGAGGGTTGAGTGTCCCCCTCAGAGCCCTGGGCCTGTTGGAAGCACCACAACGTGCCTTAGCCCCCCTGGGGTGCAGCTGCTCCCAGCCCTGCTGCACTCAGCCTTGTGCCCTGTTCCCTGTGACAAGCAGAAAGGTGGCACTGACAGCTTTCCTGGAGCTTGTCCCCTGCAGAGGCACCACACAACAGCTGTGCTGGACACCACTCCTGACCCCTTCTTACTTTTGTAGAGACAAACACAGCAATGTGACCTGTGAATGTGTTGATTTTAATTTTTCCCCTGTGTATCCTGTTCCTTGCCCTAGAAGAGCACACTCCAGTTGGGCTTAGTTGCCTTCCCCTTGCCTGTAAATAAATGTTTTTGTAAGACACTATATGAATTGGAGACACTCCAATAAACTAGAATATTTTCTAATACTCTGGCTCTGTGGTTCTTCCTGAGCTTCTGTGCATGTTCCTGACCCAGGAAACCTGCAGTGCTAAACCAAGATGCTGAGGTCCTCAGACACCCAAATCCCACAGCTGCTCTGTGCTGGTGTGGGGAGCCAGGCTTGCCTGCTTCCAAAGTACACAGAGACCCAGGACTGAAGTTGAGCATCACACTAACCAATTCCTGAGGCTGCTTCCCACCTGGACACCTGTAGGAGTCACACTGTCCTGCTCTCCCTGCACTCCTGAGCACTGGTCCCTCCACAGCCAGGCGAGCACACCTAGAGAAAAAGGAGCAAAAAAATCAAAACAAACCCAAATAGTTTCCAACATCTAACCCAAGTCCAGGCTGGACATGTGGTGGGGCTGGTTTTGTGCAGCACATGGCTGCTCTGCTCCTGCCAGCTGCTTTCTGCTGGAGACAGGAGGCTTCTAATTGCCTTGCAGCCCCAGCACTGAGCTCCAGGGCTGGGGGGGTGGTGCATCATCCAGAACCAGGCTGGGGGGCTGGCAGGATGGGCTGTGCCTGGAGAAACAAGGCTCAGGGACGTTTTTGTATCTACACTTACACAAGGCTGCAGCAACACCAAGAGCATCTCCTGTGGTTCTCACTGACATCTGATCTGACAGGACCCTGGTGGTGGGAGCTGGACTGGGCACCCCTGTGTCCCCACAGCCACAGGGCTCTGCTCTGGCTCAGGCCTCAGCACCACACTGGGGAAAGAAATGCTTGTTTCAGCACAGTGTCTGCAAAACGTTGCAAGATAGGCTGGTAAAGGGCACCTCGGTCTCAAAGCACTTTCTCTGCACCCAATCTGCTCTCCAGCCCGAGGACTGGGCACTTGTAGGGCTTGGGGGGAGGCACCTCTGGCTCTGGCAGCTTGTGCACAGGAGCAGGAAGGTGTTGGGCTCACGTTGCATGGAAGTGAGTCCATCCCTGAATCCCTGCAGGCACTGGGCAGGCTGTGCTGGGCGTGCACGAGGACTCACCAGCCCTGAGCCAGCTCCCCTGGTGCCATCAGAGCCCGGGTCCAGGCAGGGTGTCCCTCCTGCAGGGAGAAGATGAGGAGCAGTTGGCAGTGCTGAGCTGTGGAAACATCAGTGGTTTAATTCCACCGTTTGCAATTAGCCACCCCCCAGTCACACACCCCACAAAACCTGTCCCCAGACTGGAGGGCTGAGGGAGCTCACCCAGGAGCTGCTGGGGATAAACAGGCTGCCCATCCCAGCACCTGCAGCCACAGAGCTGTCCTGGTTCAGGGACTCTGGGGCCACACACCATGTCCTGGCCTCCTGGATCCAGCCCAAGCTTACAGCCTCAGCCTGGGCTGAGCTGGCCCTGCCAGCTGCCCCTCTCCAGGCACCTTTGGGAGCACCAGTTCCTCCCAGTACAACTCCAGTCCTGTGCACGGGGCTGCTGGCTGAGCATGGCAGCCACCCCCCACCCCCTTTCATCCCCCTGAGGGTCTCCCAGCCTGGCACTTGGTCCCAACACCTGCACAGGGGGAGCTGCAGCGGGATGTTTGTCACCTGCTGAGCACCAGAGTCACCTCTAGAGAGTGTCAGAACCCCAAACAAGACTCACACAGCACCAGGAGGGAGAGAAACACCTGGGGAACTGGCCCACCAAAAGGTCCTGTCCTGAAGCAACCAGTACAGCAGGACTGCTCAGAAACCTCAGCCCCTGCTGCTGCAGAAACCAGCCCTTGGTAAGGATTAAAAGCAAATAAAAATGAGAAAGGGAAATAAAAATATCCAAGTCCCTGAGCTCAGATCCCACTAGATGTCCCTCTTGGCCAAGGCACAAGCATCTGAAGCATCACCAAGAAGGTCCAGGAAAGCAGAGAAGGTCTGCATGCCCCAGCCCTGCTCCCAAAGGCCAGAGGGAAGGGAGCCAAGAGGAGGAAGAATGAATGAGAGGACAGGGAAGGGAAACAAGTGTGGGCAGCACTGGCTGGAGGACTGAGCCAGGCAGCAGCTGCCCTTGCCTGGAAGGTGCCTAAATGAGGCATTTGTGGGGAAAAGCAGATCTGAATCAGCCTGGAAAGTCCCATCCCTTGGGTTAAATGTCCAAGTCTAAGTGTTTGCTGATGGCCAGCAGCCCATGTGATGCTTTTATTCCCCCCAGCCCACCAGCAGTTCCCAAACCACTGCTCTCTGCCTCAGCTCTCAGAGGGAACAGTCCTCAGCTTTTTCACCTTAGAAGAAACCAGAGCCCACATGCTGTGTTGCTTTGCTGGTACCACAGGGTCTGAGCAACATCAGCTCAGCCCTAGTTTGTCCTCAGAGCTGGCTGGGGTGAAATGCCACGGAACTGGGGCTGGGAACTGGAACCAGCCCTGGGGGGAAGTGGCAACACTCCAGGTTTGTACAGCCCAGGAGCAGAGTCAGGCTTGTCCCTGGGCACACAAAATACAAGAGGGTCTGAGGAACTGTAAGAAAAGAGATGGGGGAACCCAACACAACCCTGGGGGGAACCCCTCACCCCTGGGAGCCAACACAAACAGTGGGGGGCAGGGAACAGGCATTCCCAGAGGATTTCCTGATGCTGGGAGCTCCAGGGATGCCTGTGGGCTGCAGGCCCTGGCAGTGAACCCAGGAGGTCAGCATCCCAAGGGGCTGGTCCCAGCTGGGAAGGGATGACTTGCAGGAGGCAAACCAGCAGGAAAGCATGCCAGGTCTTTGGGAGAAATTACAGCTGATGAATCAAAGGAAAACATCCCACACAAGTGCTTGGAAAGTCTCCACACACACTGCCTGGCTAGGGCTGCCCAGCTGCTCCCATGGACCTGCACATCAAGAGGACCAGGCTGGGGGTCTCTGTACCCTGAGCTCCACAGACCATCCTGCTCCACAACCTGCCACCTGCTATTCCAGGCAGAACCACACTCACAGAACTCTTGGGTGCTGAAGAAGTTCTCTTGGGGTCAAAGAAGGTTTGACCCTGCAGCTCAACATGGCAAGGCCTGGGGGAAACCTCACTCCTCTTGCCCAGCACGTGCAGAGCAAACCCAGTGGGGATGGAGAAGCTCAGGGTGCCCCAGAAAAGCTGAAGGGAAGAGAAAAACTTGGCAGACATTTTGGGGCTTGTTTCACCTGGGGAGGCAAGAGCTGCTGGCACAAACCTGTGCCTGCCCACTAGTTCATGTGCATGTCCCACTACTCACAAGCTTTGGAGAAAGCAGCTGGATAAAAAAGCAGCTGCAGCACCAACATCCCTCACAGACTCGTGGGCTCAGGTTCTCACCTCCTTCCTCCAAACCATTTTAGGGCTTGCAAGCAAGAGAGCAGCACATTATCTTTGGTCTTCAAATCCCCCACTTGTACCAGTGCTTTGCCATCACATCTGTGCCAGCAGGGAGGATCCCTTCATGTGTCACTGTCTCTCTGCTGATTTGTTTCCCACACGTGTTCCCCAGTTTGCTGATGGGGAGATGGGCAGGGGAAAAGAGAAACAATTAAATCCAGCAGCCAAGCCTGTAAGTGAATTGTCTCCATAACAGTCTTCAGCAACAATGATCTCAAGCCACCAGGCAGACTTTCTACCTCAGTTATTAAAATTCTCATCTTATCACAGCTGAAGGCTCACTCTAAGTGCTGAATGCCTCAGCCCCACTTGGTTTCTCTGCCCAGTGACTCCAGTCTAGACAGGGCTGCTGAACTGGGGCTCCACAGCCTGGAAGGGCAGGTTCCCCCCTCCCTCTCTCCCAAGGCATCCTGGATGCACTGGGTGAACCAACCCCTGTCTCACAGTCATTGCAGCATCACCTCAACACAGCAAGTCCCATTTCTCCCCTCCAGCCCTTGGGAAACATCAAGGCCACAATTCCCAGAGGTGGCAGCTGCAGAGCTCCTGGGAAGCAGGAGTGCTGACTGCTCACACACCTGCATCCTGGCTGCCTGGGGACCTTGGCAGCACCTCAGGAGAAGCCCAGGGCTGAGGGGGCCAAGCAGGGGCAGAGCTGTGCTGGG